ATTCTACTAGGTAGATTGACGACATTCAAACTACGTTTTTCATGTCTCGAAAAAGCGACTTAGAATAGATTTATATATAGTAAAATATTCTATAATAGGAGTTAAAATACAAGTAACATAAAAAATTAGTCAATTCGTACTTAGGTCAACAAAGAAACATTTTATTTTAGATACCTTTTATTACAATTATTAAAATTTTTTCGTTTCTAATTTATAAGCTGATGGTGGTCTAAAATTTCTCATTCTATCCGTCTCTTGTAATGCTTTATTATTGCAAGGAACCTTGTAGAGTCATTAGGTTTATTGGAAGCAGAAAAGATGAAAAATATGCAACCGCCTTCGCCGAGAATCGAACCACGGACCTCTGGAATACCGGCCCAGCGTGCTACCGTTACACTACGAAGGCACGCTAGGGAAATGGGATAAATACCTTATAACCTTTCCAGCGAGTTTCGAGCAGTCCAAGTTTTCAATTAATATTCTATCTAATGATTTCCACACGACTCAACGCGACATGTGCTTGACTTGCTGCGAACAGTTTTCGTCCTATATATACTACTGCATAATCTACAGCGCTACCTTGCATCTTATATATTGTTGTTACCCATGATAGTATTAATGGTAGCATTCTTCTTTCAGGCAGTACCGCAGCTGCGTTTGGCGGGGAATTGTACTGATGTTGGCTCGATTCTGTGAACACCATTACTGCCAAAGTTCACAGTTTAACACTTGATCAAGTTTCAAGTTATGAAATAATCACGTTAAACAATGTCAAACATCTCTACGTACATTGTACAGACTGTTCAACTTGAAACTAGCCTATTAACATCAAGTGTCATCCACTACAAGTTTAAAAAATGTATTTGAACTTGAGTGGGTGAAAAAAAATGATTTTATTAACGATTAAAAATTTTTTCCGACAAACAGGAATAAATAAGTAGGAATTGACTTTAATATGTGTAAAAAACTGTATTAACATCAAGAGTCATACCCTACAAATTTAAAAAATGTATTGGAACTTAAATGAATGAATCAAAAGTATTTTATTAACGATCGAAAATCTGAACAAGATATAGGGAGAGTGTGAACTAATAGTAAGAATTTAAAAATGCTATGAAAGACTTTCATTTTTTCTATCAAAGTAAATATAACATATATTGTTGTCAACTCACAAAACTAAATATTTTTCGTTGAATAAACTTAAAATTTAACTCTGAAATAATTTCAGTTTTAAAAGCCACGGTATTATTTCTGAAATTCGTTTTCGAGAAATAAAGCAGTTATAAAGGTTAAAATAACCAAATTTTAATACATGGGATATTCATTTTCACTTACACTGTATTAAAATTATATACTTACCCTGTATTAAATATAAATAATATACGTATTTCTTAATGGAAAAGAATTTATCGATAAGAGTAACACAGAATGTAGATGGAACTACAAAATTTCTTTACGTAAGGGCGCATGTGCAGTGAAGCGGAAGCCTACGCATGCGTGTTGAAACTTCGCAATGACAATAAACCTGTTCATTGCGGACGTTTCATTAGTAAAAGTGGCGAGTACCATGCAGAAAACTTTCTGCGTGTTAGAATTTAAAAAATCTCATTTTGTTAAAACAGTGCAGAGAAGATTTCGTCAGCGTTACAAACAAGAACCTCTAAATGCGAACAACATACGCAGATGGCATCGGATGTTTAAAGAAACAGAAGAAGTAGAGGAAGGCCACGTATTTCAGCAGATAACGTAGAAAGAATTCGCCGCACGTTACGAACGAAGCCCACGGAAATCGAAGTACGAAGGCAGTAGGGGGTTACAAATGCCACAATAAACGGTATGGCGTGTTTTCAGAAAAAGGCTGCAAATGAAATCGTACATCATTCAACTTGTGCAGCTTGAAACAGGAAGACTTTGACAAACGTATGAATTACCCTACGTTTATGCTAAAAATGCATGGAGGATGAAACAATGGGCTGATCGTATCATTTTTAGCGATGAATCAACCTTCCACATAAGTGGGAAGTTTAACCGGTACAATAGTCGTTTATAGGGTACAGAGAAGCCTTTCACTGTAATTGAACATAATGTTAATGCTTTCTGCGCGATCAGTCCTTTTTCCTTCAGTGAGCGAAGTTGACATCAAATGTTTACCTAGACATGCCTGAGGTATGGTTAATGCCACAGCTAGACTCTAATTCCACGGATTACATCTTTCAGCTGGATGGAGCACCCCCCATACTGGAGTACGGAGGTTCGCACATTTTTAAATCAACATATTCCAAAGCGTTGATTCGGTGAAGTGGAGCTGCCGACGATGTTTTCTACTGTTGGCCACCGAGATACCCAGACTTGACACCTTGCGATTTTTTTCTATGGGGTTATGTGAAAGACAGGGTGTTTCTGCCCCCCCCCATATTCCAAACAATTGAGGAACTCAAAGTACGCATTTTTAATGCACTTGCGTCGGTGACTGAACAAATGCTTCAGAATGTATGGCGTGAAATGGACTACTGTCTAGATGCTGTCCATGTGACCAAGGGAAGTCACATAGAACATCTATTACGTATGTATACAATACTTTGAAGTTCCCTCTACATTATGTCTTATTACAATCTTAAAGATAAATTCGTTTTCAATAAATAGTTATAGCCCTTTGTAATCGCTATATTCATTTTGAGCGGTATATTATTACTGCTAAAAAGAAGGATTTCACAAAATTATCTAAAAATACTGCCAGTATGTATGATTTTACGAAATTTCATCTTGATTATCACATTTTAATTTGGATGTAGATGAAATAATCTTGTTTTGTTCTGTTTATTTGTCTTTTAAAAGTGTCCATATCATCCTTTGTATATCAATTTGTTAGTTAAACACGTCATCTGTATAATATTTTACTAGGGATTTAAGTTCTATTAACTAATGTTATTAGCATTAGTTCTGTACACTATTTCATCTTTTTAATGCTTTTCTCTTCTAATATTTTAAGAAAACATTTATTAGTTATTTCAGAATTATGAAATAAAAAAATAGAAATATTTAACATTCCTCCTTGCGCTCAAAAATCATTATGCGAATACGTGTTTACAACTTTTAAAACCTGAAAATTTGTTTGCGATGTTATCCTTATTCGATAATTTGCACGTACTTCTTTTTTACCTCGATATTTCGACGAGGACGTTTTTTAGAATTGCGATGTTTTCCCCTTGCTTTCTTATGTCCCACGATGTTTTATGCGATGACATTTTTGCTCTGCGTTGTTTTTTCAGCGACATCAATGAAGTCAGTCTGTCAGCGTTGACGGCGAACACCGTCCAAAAGAAAATATATAATGAAAACTTTAACAGAAGAGTAAGCGAATGCAGTGCTGAATTTGGATATGAAAACAGAGGATAATGAAGCTTTATTTAAATTACCTGATATACTGTTATGAGGTCAAAAACAAGTATTAAAAGTTATATAACAAAATTACATCATTGAAAATTTGACTGAAATCATAGCAGTCTCATGCTAAGAGTAATAACTGAATTTACTCAAGGACTCAGTGTAAACAGTTAAAGCATGTTAGATATCAGTTGCAATGTTATCAAAAAATCTTTTAAAATTGATTACTTGTGTATTTCAGATAGCTGTGAAAAATTTTTTCTAAACATTGTTTCAGAAAATTGTCTCTATGCGTTTAAGAAAATACTCACAATTAGCATATCTGGTTCTTCATTCAAAATTAACGGCGAACTTACCAGAAAACTTACAAATGGAATAAAGAGAAGAGAAACTAATACGCAAAGGAAGGAATATTTATTTAAGTGGATTTGTTAAGTTACTCAAAAAGGAAAAACTCTCAAATCTTTACTGCACTTCAAGAATATTCTAGCTTTATTACAGTTCTTTTCTAAAGCAGGCATATTTACAAGCAGCAATTGAAACATACAAAAGTGATATGCGAACAAAAGTGCGCCATCGCAAACACATCTGTCAAACCAGATATAAGTTGCAATGGTATTAAAATATTAAGCTTACGATTCATACTCAAATGTTATAATCCTATTTCTTATGTTATATGTGTTATATCGTGTTCCTATGTTTTATGTGTATATGTGTTATATTTACTATGTTATATTCTTTTTTTCTTTCTATTTATATCTTTTAGATAATATAGTACGGACAAATATTCGTAGATGTTGATGTCTTTATTAAATTCTGCATGTGGCCTTTATCGTAATTTTACCAATTGATGCAAATCTCAGTACAATTTTGTTTAGCATTTAAACTAGAAATTACAAACAGCAAGTAGTCCTGCTCTAAATGTTTTCATTTCTCTTATCAGTCTCCACATTCCAATAAACTTTAGATTGTCTGTATACAATTTGCCAAATATACTGCACGTACGTTCACTGTATTGTCTAAATGCAGAAATCACTAAATAAAATTGCTTTCTTACATGCATGCATTCATATCATACATACATATATGTATATATATATATATATTCTAGTGAGGGATTAAGCATAGCGAAGACAAGAATGAAGAGAAAATAGTCAAGGCACTTGACACAAATAGTCAAGACTATATCATTCGATAGGAAAGCACTTCCCAAATTTGCTTCAGTGTGAGACACTCCCCTTTCCTGCGAAATAGTTATCAGGTTCCGCGCCTATCATATCCAAACTTCCTTCTCCTGTTCAAGGAACACCTCGAATCTATGATTATGATTCTGAGTTTGGGTTGTAAGCATTTCGTATTTATTTGCATAAGATGTGCAATAAATTCGTGCAACACAAATATGGCTAGAGAAAATGATAAAAGGATCTTCCTGAAGATAATGCATAATATATAAAATTTAAAATTCATAGAAAATAACAGATTAATTAAGGATAAAATAAAATCTTGAATTTAAAAGAGGAAAAGTTAATTTGTTTATATTTTTGCATCTTGAAAGTTTATATTAAACAAATTAGGGTAATCACATTTAAATCAAGTAATGTCCTATAGTAAATTACCTGTTTACGATGAGTTTTCATATGTTGAAAGGGAAATCAACTATCAGTTAACATTTTCGACTGAAAAAAAAATCCTTAGTTTAGTATGAAACACAGGTGAAAAATGTTAAGTCGCTGAATTTGCATAGCAGTAAAGCCTTAATAAATGATTACTATATGCAGCGATATTTATCTTATTTAGTGATTACACCTGCCTAAATGTAAATGAGAGAAAATAAGAATAACACTTAACACTTTAACTGCTTTATACAAAGTAGATCGTAAACAACAACAGCAAAATTAAGGTACTGGAGTTTATAAACTGATGAAAAAAAATACAATATTGTGGACAGTCAATTTAGTCAAAGCAATTAAGTCAAATAATACTGTAAAGAAGTGTGTGTAACGAGATTGATATTAGTACTGAATATTTAAAAAAATGCGAATGAAATTAAATTTTCAAGTTTTGCTTTTGTGTTTTTCATACCTATATTCATGTTCCTACAGTAACTTCCCCATTTTGAAGAGTTTCACTTTACACTGTTTCATATTTATGAAAAACCTACACTGGTACCTGACTTTGCTAACGAAACATACCTGAAGAATTCTTTCCCTTTTACAAAAAAGTACGAAAAGTGATGTTATTGTTTCGCATAGGTTAACTGTCTCTGATCACACAGACAATTCAACATAAGAAATTTCTATAGCTTGTTTTGAGTATCTACGAATAAATGTACAATTAGAATGCATGCGTTTAAGCATATTTGCGTGTATGCCCTGAGTAAAGCTTACTCTTACATTTCAAGCTTTCCGCATCAGTCGTGTAGCAAGTAGCAAATCCTGATTTTCGTTATTAAAGCGATAGGACTACGGTTGTAGACGCATCACATGCTCTAATTTCCTGTGTTTCTCATCACCTAGTTTCCGATGAAACAGCTTTGACACTGTGATTACCACTGCACTCTGAGGCTTTTTAATTCTTGAACATGAAACTTCACAGTATGTATATAGCTGTTTGTATTAATTGTATGTTTATCATGTGATTTAATGACATTTTAGGTTACATGTTCTGTTTGGTACGATTTAATGCTTTGTTTTTTTAAACCTAACAGCCCACAGACACAATTTTTCTAATATATATAAAAGCTAATTTGTTTTTCGTTTGTTCCCTATTCAGCTAAAGATTCATTTCACAGAATTATTTTTTTACTATGCGGAAACCTAATTCTGTTATTCCAAAGTATTGTTTGCTCTGGGTTTATTGGTTTGTTTTTTTTTCTGTATTTTGTTCAACGATTACTATACAGATTTAGATTTAGAGTCAACTCACCATTACTCAAGAGTGGATTAATCAGGCTGCGATTAACTTGACCTCTCTTAAAAACATTATTTTTGTTTATTGGGGAAAGATGAGAGAATTATTAGCACAGTCCATCAGCTTAAAATAAACTAGTCTACAGGAAATACAAAAAGGGAAAGAAAAATACATATTGCAACAGCTTAAACATAAAATGTGCGTCTCGTGCTTACAAATCAATGACCACTTGTGGCGATGTCACAGTAACAGTCAAATTCAGATTTAAACTAAGCCCAATAGTCAAAGAGACTATACACAATTGATTTAACGTGAAGTTGGCTCAAATCTTCTTACCGGGGTAACAATATAAATGTCGGCAGCAATGACACAAAGTCGAATAATTACAATCTAATCAGAGCTAGCGAAATCTACTAACATAATGTCGAGCGGCAGAAACACGCTTTGTCTTACAATCCAAAATCCTCGAGTTAAGTACTGTCTAAACTGATTTACATTCTATTGAGGAAACGGAAACGAGAAATGATAGTAAAGCTGAATAACTGGTTACTTAAAATAATTAAATCCTACAATTGTTTCTTCATTTCAAAACGTTGTTATTTATTGCATTTTATGTCTCAATTACAGAAATATATTTCGCAAGTATTAAAATAATGAAATGCGCGCAGTATATTTGAAAGTTAATCTGATCTTGTTCTAGAAAACAGTAAGATTTTTAGACAATGAAATACTTGAAAAGAAACTGCGACTTCACACAGAATGCAACAATATATCTTTTGCTGCGTTACTTCACAAAGGCTTGTGAGAGGAATGTCTTAAATATTTACACTGAACCATCTAAGAGCAACTAGAGAGAAGCCTGTACAATCCCAGTCGGACTGTCTTAGCTTAGTGACGAAATGCATTCTATCAGTTTAGTTGGTCTCCAGATATAGATGACAAGAGGATTGGATTGGATTATAAAATTATGGCAAAGCACACGAGGGCTATCTGCCTAAAGGGAGGGATGGCTTCGTGGAGGACGTTCTAAGGGAAACTGGCTCGTATACACGTTACACATGGGGAAAACCATGAAAATGCCCATGCAGCTAGCCCGTTCGCGGGATTCGAACCTCGGACCGAACTACCAGTGTTCAGCGTCTTTACCGCTCGGCCGCTGGTGGGTCCGATAACAAGAGGAGACTAAGACCTATAAATACATTAAAGTTGCCTTCACATGGAGCTTAGCACTCGAACTTCTAGGTATTGGGTCGATATGCTAAAGGTTTGCAGTAAAATCAAGATGAGAGAATAGCTTTTAGTTCCTTAAACTTCAGTATTTCAAATGCACCAGTAACATAACAGTCAAAAAGTACAGCAGCTCGTGAAATCCCGCGGTCCACCAGCTGCCGAGAGGTAAAATCGCCGAAACCTGGTAGTTCGATCCGGAGTTCAAATCCCCGCCAGCAGGCTGCCTGCATGAGCGTTTTCAAGGTTTTTCCAATGTGTAACGTGCATATGATTCAGTCCCCCTTAGTAAGTCCTCCACGAAGGCATATTTCACTTTACTCAGATATCTCTCGTGTGCTTTGTCGTAATCAAATAAGCCAAACCTGAAATCCCGCCATCCTCCTTTAGCCCCAATAATCTGACTGTTACTATATTAACTTAAATTTACACGGTTTCTCTCATTACCTGTGAACGTTTATTACATTAGAAACGGTGAATAGGTTCATAGTTATCTGCCCGAGGAGTTACTACACTCTCTTTAACGTCCGAAAATATTATTCAGTAGATTTTCTAGTGTACAGACAAATTAGTGCACATATATAAAGCGAGCGAAAGTTAGAATTACATATGCTTATGATAAAACTTAAAATCATAAAATCATCCCTACAGAAATTTCAATATAGAGCCACTAATGTCTGCGGTGAATCTGAATTCGTCCATTGCAATGAGAATAAATAATTCAGTTAACGCACATGTAATTTAAATTTTAATATATAATGAAGCAAAGTTTTAAATGTCTTTAAAGTTACATCCTAAGGTGTAATTTCAATGTCATTTCTTTGTGTAAAATTTTAAATTCGGTAACTATGGTATGAGACTTCAAAGATAAGCACTTTATTCTTTATTATGCCATTTTGTGTAAACGCTTAAAATACGGAAGTCTTAATTTTAAAATTCACTCATTAAATTATTTATTACTTAGAAAGCATAATTTAAAATCCAACTACATATAATATAATCTTAGAACTAGTGAAAACCAATATATTTTTCAAAATTAATTTTTTATTTGTTTTAAATACTTTTGAATGTAATCTTAGACAATGAAGTAAAAACAAGGTTTTAAACATACAGAGAACTATGAAATAAAAAGAAATTAAATTTTCTTTAAGAAGAAAAAGTGAGCTAATATTTGTATTAATGAAAGGAATAATAGTGGTCTGAAATCAAAAACAAAAATGCGCTGAAGCGAAGTTTATTTATTTTTATCAGTTTGATTTCTTAAACAATTTTACATGTAATTGCATCCAAAATCTCTCTCTTATACACAAAAAATGACTTCTGTTTAAAACTAAATCGCTCTGATTTACTTAGTTTTTCTAAATAATAAAGATGCGCTTTTTTCAGTAAAGCAGTTCACGGCACTTCAGTTGCCATGAGTTTTTAGTGACCTTACAGAATGGCTTTCTACTTCCTGAGAAAATGAACTCTATGACTTGCTTTTGACTTAATTCATCATCTTAAGTATTTTCTTCTAGATCTCTTGAAAATATTTCTTTACATCCATTTTTTTTCTCTTGCAGTTTCTCGAAGTAAATCTTTCACATTTTTTCTGAGAGTTTATTTTAACTGGATAATTCTACGTTTTCATATGCAGCTTCCGTTTCTAATTTTACTCTTCATCCCCTTCATTTTTATTTCAGTGTTTTGTTTTCTTGTTTCCGGTGTCTAAGGTCAAAATATTCTTAAGTGACTATTGCGGTGGATGAAAGGAATTTAAAATTAACTTTATTCTGTTAGCAGTGCTTTATTAAGTGTATGTTAATGTTACAAGCATGTATTCAGTTACGTAGGCATGTGTCGAAAACGAATGTTATGTATTCAAACATCAAAAATGAATGATATGTATTCAAACAATAGAAAACAATTTCATAAGTTGCTATAAACTTGAGCGACCGGACAAAGCATATAAAGCTTTGCTATTCAACAAAATTATAAGATTATTCTCAACTTTTCCCACTGAACAACTAGTTAATCTAACCTGGACCTGAAAAAAATCCTGTTTTCTTTGATGTAAACATAATTTTTCCTGCTACTTTAATTCATTGATGCGAATGGAATGAATATTAAGCAAATGATTTTCCTGAGCGTAACAAAAAAGATGAAATAATTAGTGCAAGGCATGAGCCAGATGTTTTCCCTCCTTTCTACCGAAAATGTAGACCAAATTAACGAAGAATGTGAGGCTTAATATTTTTACGCAAGAAAATAATATTGTTTCTCAGAAGATGTGATTGCTTTGTTAGGAGGCCATTAGCAATATTTTCAATCTGATTGACATCTGTCACTGGCAACAGGAGTTTCTTTTGGTTGACAATTCAATGAAAATCACATTTATGATAACTCAAAAAATATATATCATGATTTTTTTAATAGATAAAACTTCTTCCTTTACTTAGGATGGGAGAAGAGATAATTATTTTCAACATACGGAAACTGAAGCTTATTGCAAATATCATGAAAATGGGGAGAAATATCTCGTTTTCAACCACAGTATAGT